TTAAGATGATAGATATTTCACATTTGTTGGGGGCATCCTCAAGTTTTTCTTTCTTATTAAAACTCTCATTGGGCTTTGACATTTTCTGAATCAGTCAGAAGTTAGGGTCACGTCCTTTAACCAGTGGGACACTGTTCCTTTCTCTCTAAAAGTATCGGTCTATACTTGATTTCCTACTCTAGATAAGAGGATTAGATTTCAGAAAAGTAAAAGGCAGAGTCATCATCAGGGTGGTCTTTACCTCATCCCCTTCTTATGTGCAAGTAGAGTAGAGAGGAGCAGAGAAAGAAGGTACTAGAGCTTCTCCCCACTGCAGATTTCTCTGCTCCATAGAGGGGAGGAGAAAAGATATCTGTTCTTCAAGTGAGTCTGAAGTCTTAACTAGAATGAACTTTTCAAGAGTGACCAAAGAGTTAGAGCATTTGTCCAGGTTATCCTCAAGGAATGCTAAAGGGAGCTGAGTATGGTCTCAGCATCTCCAGAGGCTGAGACAGGAGGATGATAAATTTAGATGTAGCTTTAGCAACTTAATGGCTTGGACAGACTCCATTCCCAAATAAAATATAAAATAGAATAAAATAAAATGAAATAAACAGCTCTGGGTATGTAGCACAATGCTTGTGAAGGCCTTGGGTTCAGTCCTATACTGTAAGTGCATTTGTGTATGCACACACACACACACACACACACACACACACACACACACACACACACACACACACACACACACACACACACACACACACACACACACACACAGAAAGAATACTGAAGGGAGCTTTGTTAGTGTAAAGTGGAACTTCTTGGATAATAAAAGCTCTTTGCATTTCAGTTACTACCCCATAATAACTCGTTGCATACATATACACTGATAATAGGTAAAGTTTATTAAGAATATTATTCAAATCTTCGCATTGTTCCTTAATTTTCACCTACCTGATCTGTTAAGAGTCTGAGAGATATGGTTTAACTTTCTAACTTCTATTGCTGCTTTAAGTTATTATTATTTTTTTTAGTTCTGCTGGCTATTACTTTATAAATTTTCAGGCTCTAGTATCCGGTGGATATATGTTCACAATTATTATACATCTTTGATTTTGTTTCTCTCTTATAAATAGATTTTATCTCATTTAAGTTATTTTTTGACTCATATTAAAATTTTTGAGCTAAGGAGGGAGTTGGCCAGAACAGCCTGTGTTTCAGCCCGTGTCTTTGGAGTTCAGATTTGACTAGACTATTTTTCTAATATAGTATTTCTAACCTTGCAGTGTTTCTGACTTATTTCTAAAGTTTAGAATTTTCTATTTATTATTTATTCCTCTGGTTTTCCTCCCTTTTCTTCCATTGGGTAAGTTGAAATTAATTTTGTTTTTCTGGAGATTACACATTCTATTTTTATTCTTTTAATGAATACATTTCACTTACTTATATCCACATTTCTACACCATTTCCTTCCATCAACATCAAAGCTTATCTTAGACATATCTTCCCCCTGAGTGTGACAAGAATTTCAGCACCCTCTCACGTCCCTTTGCTCTGTACTTCTGCTTTTGCTCTGTATAGGCTTTGGAATTTTAAAAAGACCTTTGATATCTTAAATATCACTCTTGAGTTTTAGACCTTTCCTTAATTTTGGAAAATTCGCCATGTCATCATCTCTTTACTATCCTTCTTTACCTTTTTTTTTCTTTTTCATATTGAACTCCTGCAGGCCAGATTTTGAAAAATGTCCTTCATTGTCCATTTTGTGTATTCCCTTCTTCACTTTATCCCTGCTAATGCTGTTGTTCTATGGCTGCATCCATTCTGCTTTCTGAGCAGTCCATTGATGTTGCTTTTTAAATTCAGTTGTTATTTTTTCATAGCCAGCAATTCTATTTGATTTTCCTTTGTAATGCTTGCTCCCACTTTATGTGTCCATAGTTTTCCCTCTTTCTGAAGTAATTTATTATGATTATTTCAAATTCTTATCTGTCTTGTGTATTTGACTCTTCTGCAAGGGCCACTCTAATTGTTGTTCATATTGGGGATGTTTCTCTTTCTCTGCTGTCTTATTTTCTCCCCTGTGAGATCATCCTCAATTTCCTTGGGTTCTTAAACTGCCCTTGCCAAGAAGGAAGGAAGGAAGGAAGGAAGGAAGGAAGGAAGGAAGGAGGGAAGGAAGGAAGGAAGGGAGGGAGGTAGGGAGGGAGGGAGGGAGGGAGGGCAAAAGTCTGGATCTTAGCTTATGTCCTAGGAAGTTTTTTGGTTTGGTTTGGTTTTCAGATGGGTCATGATGCTGAAAGAAGAACTTCTAGAGATTATTTTTCAGGGTTCAACTCATCACCACTTTTTCCTTTTCAGAAGTTTAACCTCATAGCATTTTGGCCCTGATAGCCTACCAGCGTGGCTAAAAGGGCAGTGGAGTCAGCCAGCTCTGCACTCAGTGACATTGGCTCCCTACTCTCTTTGGCCCTTCTCTTCTTATTGAGGCTCAATATTCTAAAAGAGCTCTGGGCTTCCATGGCCGCCTTTCTGACCCATAATAGCTACAGTGCAGAAAAAAAGCCAATTTAGGGGAGAAAAGGGTATATTTAGAAATCTTTCCCACTCTATCCTATAGGTCTCTAACCCTCTCATGCGCAAGCTACCAACTGCCCGCCCCATGCGAGGCCCACCTGTTACCTCCATCAGGATTTCTCACAGCTCTGAGTTGTTGAGTGGGTGGGCTCTGATACCCATCAACTCCTTTATACTCTGAGTCTTCTCGCATGTTTTGTTTAGGAGGTAGAGACAAAGACATCCGGTTCAGCATCCCAAGCAAGCCTGTGAAAACACAGTCTGTTTCTCACTGATAGGAAATTAAGGTGTGTCCATCAGAGGCAAATTCTTGTAGCAAAATTATTGCTAATGGCTTCAACACGTATAGGGTTAATAAATAAAACAAAACATAACTATAAGATCTTTCCTAAAAACTTCAGTATTTTTTCCCTAGGTTTCTACTCAATATTAATTTTTACCTCAGGGGAAAAAGGACCTTATGTAAAAAATCCTTTATTCTTCCTTTCCCCATTTATATTAAATAACACAAAATTATTTTAATAATGTGATATGGAATCTAGAGACAAAACACTTTGGTCTACAAAAGAGAACCAATTTATTTCATAAATCACATTCTCTTGCTCCTTCCAGCAATTTCCCTTTTCCCTGGGAGGGGGATGTTATTATGTTCTATCTGTGGCTCTTTGTGTAATTTTAATTTATCATTAAGTAACACTTTGCTTTTTAACATAAAGAATTCAGTGTGCTTGATGGAGCAGTGCTCCATGGAAAGTTAGTTCTCGGCAACAACTGTTTAGAACAGAGGAGTTTATTAATTTATCAGAACCTTATGTTCAATTTCAGACTTCTCAGCCTAGGAACCAACAATCAGCTGCACCTGTTGCCAATTAAAGTATTAATGGCACATCAATCAAAGAAAAATCACTGGGAATGGAGATTACACAAGCTCTGTGCTCATGTCATTTTTTGGAAGTTATCCTTTATTTCAATAATAAGTGAGAACTACAAACCATACCCTTCAATCTGCATTCTGCACTTTTTCTCTAAAACAGTTTTAGTAGCTGAATTCCTTACACTGTGAGGCCAAATGAATTTTCCACAGGAAGAAACTGTTGTCTTGTATTTAAAAAGTAATAATGTTGATATACATGTGGAGAGTGGCAGGACCCTGTTAACATCTTTACAAATCTTGACAAAAGTTAATTACCAGGTTTACAAAAGGCAGAGCCAGCCCCACTGGCCCTGTTCTAGATGAATGCAATCATCACTGCCAGGACAGGCTTCTCTGTTTATTTTGAAGAAATACATGGCGCTCACATCAGAGATTCCAGCAGAGAGGCTGGATCTCTTCATTCTCCTTTGAATGGGTCAGTACTTCTTGGAAGATGGTTAGGACTGAGGTTGTATAAGAGGGTGGAGAAGTAATCAGAAGGGCAGAGGTTACAGACCAGGCAAATATGTTTGATCCTGGCCAGATTTCTGTCTGTGGCTTGGTCCCTTTAGTTTATCATTCTGAGAAGAAGTTTACTGTTGCCTCTGGTCTCAACTTTGTAAAATGGGCAGAGGAGACACATAACAGACAGTTTTATATCGGAGGGTCTTTGGCACATTTAAATATAGGAGAAACTTGAAAAACAGTACAAATTAGTATGTGATTCAATGGATAAAGAAGGCACAAATATGCTTTGGATCTTATATTCTACTTGCTATATAAATAAGACATACTCAATATTTCCTTAACTGCACAAATTTAACTCATTCTAGTACACTTTGTCCCTGCCTAGAAGGGCAAATGTCACCATAACATTATCTATAGATTTTATAAATTCTTGTTTAGTAACTGCTATAGATTGAATCAATGTCCCCAATGTCTTGGTCTCCAGGGTGGTGGCACTGGAGGTTCTGTGGACCTCTAACAAGTGAAATCTTATGGGAGGTCTTTAGATCGTTAGGGTTATACCTTCCAGGGGGATAGGGGACCCTGGCTTGTCCTCTCTCTGCTTCCTGACTTGAGATATGAATGTTCACTCCAACATGCATGCCCACCATGATGTGATGCCCTTACCAGAGGCTAAACTGATGAAGGTAACCAATCTTAGACTTAACCCTCTGGAGATGTAAGCTGAAATAAACAACCTGGGCCTGGTATTCCCGTATAGTATTTCGAAGCTGATCAATACAGCAATTCAGGGTATCTCTAACTATCAAAATTTTCTGTGTACTCCTCAGAACACAGTTTATGAGAAAAAAAGCCCAGTGTAATATCATGAATGTACCAATGTTATCTAAAATATTTTGAATGGCCAAAGACTGGGAAAGACGAAAGTGTCTTTGGGTTTCTCATGTTAGAGTGGTTTAAAATTATTCCTTCAAGGCACGACTAGAATTTTACATACTTTACTGAGTATACCTGCATAAAAATATTTTATTTTTCTTGCCCATTTTTTTTTCTCCTGCAGATCTACCTTTTGTCTGTTCACTGTAGTACAATGCGATTACGAATAATACTCCAGCTCCCATTATGATTTCTTTACTGCTTAGCCTGAAGTTACTGGGCATTTGGTTTGACCTTCCTCCTCAAGCGACACAGGTGAGTTCTGCACCTTTCCTGGCCTTGCAGCCAATGCACTCTTTTTCAGTTCTTTTGAATTGACTTTCTTCACAACTAAAACAACCTGACTAATAATTCATGCTACAGATTCTCAAGCATTCTCTTCAGAGCCCCGGCCATCTCTCATCCTAATGTCCAGGACAGGTATGTGTACAATTATGGAGAACCTCTGTGTTGCACAAACATAACCAACTGATGTTCAATTTTCAGCCTTGGGATTTCTCAACCTCGGTACTACTGATGTCTTTGACTCAGTGACTGTGCATAGCATGAGGTTAAATAGTAGTTCCAGCTCCTACTCACTAAGTGCTGGTGGTACTACTGTCTCAAGAGTGATAAACAAAATGTAAAATGTGTTCTTGGACTTTGCCCAATGTCACTAGAGGAGTGAAGTGCAAAATTATCCCAGTTAAGAACCACTAATATATACAAAAATTAAGTGCTGCAAGAGAGGATTTCCTTTTCCTTTCCTTTTAAAGGAATATATCTCTAGTACCCAAAATAGGGACAGCCTCGTAGAAGGTGCTCAGTGTATGTACATTCAAGAGAAAACAAAAGTTCTCTAAGTAAATTGGGGATGCTCTTGCAGATGCTGCTTAACATATAACAAAGAAAAGAAGTCTTAGGAAGAAAACCGTGTCACCTAATTCTGTGATAATCTGGGGAAGGGAGGGATGTGCAGAGGAAAAGAGAGAGAAAGAAAGAGAGAGATGGAGAGAGAGACACTACAGTACTCATAATTTGACAGGGTAAGAATATCATCTTAATGTGGGGAGTAAAGAATTAGGGTAGGGAAGAGGGGAATTGTTGATTTTTAGGAATTCTCTGTAAAGTACTACATTTTATACATTTGTCCCCCCCCCTTTCTCAACAAAACTTTAGAGCCCATCAGTAAAGACTGATGTGGGGCCAAGGTAGTTAAAACAGAACCTTGACGAATTCCATTCCCTAAAATGATGAATACTTTTGAAATGCAGTCAGTTTCTGTATCTTTACTGAATAGATTTTCCGCCATGATTAAAATGACCCATCCCTAGATCTGATCTTCCTCTTACTGTACTTAATTTTAAAATATTCATGTTAGAGAATTTAGTCTTATAATAATTTTCCCATGTTGAAAGACCACTGATATATGAACATATACACGCATATTCTTGTCAGTAGGAACACTGCCTTCATAAAATGACTTATATAAACCAGCCACATGGTGTTATCCAGACAAAAATTTTATGTACTGTATTTATGTTGAAATGAATTTTCTATTATACAGATTGTAAGTTTCCACTTCAACTATCCCTGCTCTTCTGAAAGAAACAGTCCAGGGCTGAGAATGTAGCTCGGTGATAGAATATTTGTCTAGCATGTACAAAGCCCTGGGTTCAATTCCTAGCACTGAAAAAAGAAATGCCAAGAATCCCTCTGCTGGGTATCTTTCCAAAAGAACTAAAAGAATCATATCACAGAGAAGTATGTGCACCCATGTTCATAGCGGCACAGTTTGTAATAGCTAAAACTTGGAAACAGCCCATTTGCCCATCCGTTGGAAACTGGATAAAGAAGATGTGGTTTTTCTATAAAATGGAATATTACTCAGCCATAAAGAACAAGAAAATAGATTCATTCCTAGGAAAATGGATACATATTGAAGGTATACTCCTAAGTGAAATAAATAAGGCACACATGTGTAAATACCGAATAGTTTCTCTGGTGTGAATAATCTGCAATAATACAGAAGATCCTAATAAGATTACTGATATTGAGAAATGGGAAGAAAGGAGCTAAAGGTGAAGGGAAGGTGGGATGGGTAGGGGAAGGGTAAAAAGGGAAAAGGAAAAAATGTGAGATAATGAAAAGATGGAAATAAAGTGGTTGTAGATGGGGAGGGGAGGAGGGGGTGAAGGGAGGGCACGGACAAGGGGAAAAAATGAGAACTAAGACTTGTCATGTAGAGGTACAAGATCCCAACAATGAATGTAACTATACTGTATTCCTAAAATGTACCAGTAAACTCAATTAAAGCTGAAAGAAAAAAAAGAAATGCCAAGAAAGAAAAAACCCAGAACTGTTTCCAAGCTGCATCTCCACACTGCTTTTTCTACCTGCCTGCACCTGAGTTCCAAAAGATGATGATCCACTTTGAGTTTTCTAAATACTCCAGTTCTTAAGATGTGTTAGTTTCTTTTCTGTTTTATCAGCAGTCTGAGTCAATCACTTTAGTTTGCAGCAGTATTTCACACCAAATAGTTTTGTTAGTTTGTTGTTGGGAGTGGAGAGCATTCAAGCCTCGGTGAAAGGGAATCTTGGGTGGTCAGCCAGGTCCATTGGGTGAATGCAGGTGAGCCTCTGCCTCAGCCACAGAAGAGGCCACTGAGTTTTGTGCCTCCATAACATTGTGCTCAAAGGCACTCTGGAATTAGACAAGCCTAGGTATGCAAAGTTACTACCTGGGGTCCCTTGAGCAAGTGAGGTAACTGCTGGGAGCCTCAATAGGAACTCCCTGTAAAGTATTTAAAGTGTAAGACACCAGAGAGTGTGAGAAGTACCCTGAAGGGCTACCATTGGGATGAATTTTATCTAGGCCTACTCTCAAATAATGTAAGCCACAAATGTTAAATCCATGAACGCTACGGCCCACAGTGCAATCTGACTGCTCAAATGTCAATGACAGAACACTATTAAGTTTCCCAGGTTTCAAAGGCTTTCATACTCCTGGATTGGTCTGTGAGCCAGATTTGTTGATTGGTTGCAGCTAGGAGTTAATGAATTGGCTTCCTGGTTTGATTTTTATCCCTGAAGTGTTTGGACACATAATTCAAATCGCTAAGGAAGTCATGATGGTTTGTGGCTGTCTTCTGCTCGCAGTTGATTCTGCTTCAGGCTAGACCAGAAATTTCCCAATCTTCTTTCCATTGCTTTTGAGGACAAGAGGGTTACTTCATTCAGAGGAATTCAACTGGTATTCATTGAAAGTTATAAAACAGTGGCCATTCAATCCCTATCATAGTCAATTATTTAATACTGATGCCTAATCTATTTCAGGAGCCTTTATTTTAGCAGTAATATACATGTGTTATGGTGTGAACGTGCATTTTCCCCAAATTCTTATGTTGAGACCTAATCACCGATAGGATGATATTAGAAGGTTGGGACTTTGGGAGGTCATTAGATCATGAGGTGGAGCCTTCATGAATGGAACAAGTTCCCTTATAGAACATCCCCCAGAAAGTTGTCTCGCCCTTTCTACCATGTAGCCATATAGCTAGAAGATGTCGTCTATGAGGAACAGTCCTTACCAGACACCAAAGCTGCTGACACTTTAGGATTGTGAGCCACCCAGTTTGTGGTGTTTTGTTGTAGCAGCCTGAACGGACCAAGGCTGTGTGCCAAATTAATTATGCAAATAATTAAGAAATTTGAAATCAAGAATTCTGCAGGTCTTCTTGCTAGAATGATCCAGTGTGCCAATTTCTATCTGAAAACTCAAGTTTACTTCCTTTTTTAAAAGTAAGTACGTCCTGAAGCATAGTATCACAGTCACTTATCAAGCATATTTTAACTAACTTTCAAAAGTATCAGAAAGCTTTAACTCATTACCATTTGCTTCTGATGCTGCCCTGACTGCCTTGTAAATTGAAGTAAGCTTTAGCTCTGGCCTTAAGAGGATTTTAATCTACATCATTCACCATTGATGTAGATAAAAATCATATTACTCTATGGGGAAACCTCAGTAGAATATAAGTAACATAGAAGTGTTTAATTGTTATTATTTTTAGGTGGCTGAGTTTGAATAAATAATAACTTTAACCTGGATAGGTTTGCGGACATCATTGAACCACGAAGAGAGATTGTGTATTAATTTCCAAATATTTCCTGTATCTTCACTGCTATATAGTCTTTGGTAGCATTTTTATCTTGCCAGAGCCTTTCCTTGCGCTTCCCTTTTCTAGTTATTTTATCCCTTAAAAATGTGCCACAGCCTTTAACACAGCTGATTAATGGCTACTGATCCTCTACCTCTTAGATTTGGCCTGTTTCCCTTGGGGAAACGTTCTGTCCTTTGTAGTCTGGGTTACTCTGGTTTTTCTACAGCTCTCAATAGTCACTGCTGCTCCATACTACTAGATAGGAATACAGTATTTATTTTTGATACCCCATTTGTTTCTAAGTTCCAGTGGGCAGGGCCATACATTTTCTCTTTACTACTGTAGTAACATTTGACACAGTGCCTGCTAAAGAGCAGATATTGTTAAAGCAAATTAAAATGGAGACAAGGACTGGAAAATTCCAGAGTAGACAAAACCACTTAAGCCTTGAAAGTAACCTTAACCTTGCATGCAATGCAAACATAAGCAAAACTTGATTTGGACCATTCCTTTCAATGCTTGTACTAGAAGAAAAAAAACAAAAAACAAAAAAACCTAAAATTCTACTAGTTGAAGCCACTGGATCACTTATACAACTAACTAGGGGTTTCCTAGTGGGCAGACCAAATAATGCCACTGTATAGGAGTAACTGATCAGATATTGTCTTTATTTTACTTTTGCATGTGCCCTATAGAAGCCTGTCCTCCCTTGTGCCCCACCTGCCTGGCTTTTTTTTTTTTTTTTTTTTTTTTTTT